TGTGATTGCTTTTTTACATCAGTTGGCCACAAGACCTCTCATATGCACTCTAATTTGTGAACGAGCATTTGTAGGACCCAGCTCAGGTTTAGGCAGGAAGCCAGAGGCAAGGGGGGGCTGGCAGATCCATGGTGGGGTTTGGTGTGTCCAAGGGGGCTGGTGGGTCTATGTGGGAGCTTCCCAGTCCAAGGGAGGTTGGTCAGAGGAGTAAAACTAGTCTGGTCAGGGGAAGGGGGATTCACATCCTCTGAAGGTAACAGTACTGCGGGGATTCAGAGCAACAAACTGAATGGTGTTTTCCTCATTGAGATGTGCTTCTTTCTAATGTCAATGCTTCAATACCAAACAAATACTGAAATGTAAAAAATTAACACCACTACTACTTCTTATGCAAGATATCAGAACAGGAATAGGGGAACTGTTGAGCTGGTGTTACAGAAGACAGACGATATTCTGCCATCATATCAAATCAGCACAGAAAAACTAACAGCAAAATTTAATGAAATTTAACTTTTGCTCACAGGACAAATGTTCTCTCCAGTTGCTTATCCAGGTGTGACAATCTTTTCCTCCCTTTCATCCTTCATTTATTTGCCTTAGGAAAGCTCCCATTACTCCCCTTGCAAACCTCCGCAGAGATAGGAGTGCCCCCACAAGCCTGCCTTTTTTTTTTTTTTTTCTAACCGATTGACTGACCACTGCTCTGGCTATGAACTACCCTGCAGCAGGAATCGAGTGTTTTTGGAAGGATGGGAAGTCGTGGCAGGTTTCTAACAAAGCAGCAGGACAGAAAAGCACTTACTCCAAGCAAGGCCCTAATTTTGCAGGTGCAGGAAGCCCTCCCCAACTCTGTTGGAGAGTACTCTTTATTTGACCCATCCCAGTGACCCTAAAACCATCCAGTTTCCTGGAAGAATAAAAGGAAATCCTGTTTGAAAGCACAACAGTAAACAGGAGAACCCAAATTTTGCTTACTGCCAGCTGGCAATTCCAGAACAAGCACAGCAAGTATAGCAATCGCAGGCCTTCCCTTCCTGTGGTTAATTTTACATCTGTGTTACAGGAAGTACCAGGAATTACCTTCCAAGGGAGATAAAATTTTAGGCATTAACATTTTAATCTTTATTAGAAAAAGCAACCAAGATGACTCCCTGTTAGAAATTCTTCTTGTGAAGCTTTTTATTTTCAAACAATATAAAAAGAACTAATGTAGGCATTCACAAATTAAGCAGACAGCATTAGACTGATGAGTATAAGTTTGTCCATACACTTCACATACTAATCTACAATATTTACATTTTTTCAAATGAACTGTCTCCTTAAATGGTTTCAAAAACAAACCAACCCACCTATGAAGGGCAACACTGGGACAAAATCATTCAAAGAGATTAGTGTCAGCCCTGAACCTACTACACAACTCAAGGAATATATAACATCCCGTTCTCTTTTTTCCCCATTTATTATACCCTTACCTGATTCCATTCACAAGGCTTCTCATACCATTTGGGAGTAATTACTTCTCGAGGTTTTGATTTGCAGATTAAACTGAAATTCCATTAAAAGATTAATAAGAAACTGTATTTAGTTAATTCCAAACATCTACAGGACCATTTCTGTTTATTTGAATTGCTACTGCATACCATCATCATATAAAACCATCCAAATGAAATTTTATATTGGAAACTCATTTCTGATACTACTTTGCTGAAAAAGGAAAACCCTCAGATTTTCACATTACTGTGCTTCATTTTGAATTTTTATCTGTATTATGCTGGCATTGTGAAAAAACAGATTACTGCTTTAGTGAAACTAATTTTAAAAAATGTATTCGGATAGCTAATTGAATAATCTGCCTATCTGACAAAGGGCTATAATTTGCAGAAGTCTCTTAGCCCATTCATGTTTGCATACTTGTTAATTTGACTATATAATTTAGATATTTTAAGACATTTTGTTTTTGTGACAACTCAAACACTATAGATGGCTTGCCTTTCCCACTTATTTCCTCAAGCTGTATGAAGTACAACAGCACATTTTAATTAATTCCGTCTAGATGTGTTTTTCAAAATACGCATTTTATTCTTAAGTAGCAGTGACATGATGTAAATATGATTAACTTAAAAAAACAGAGAGGAACTGTAAGAGACTTAGCCAGATTAGTGTTATAATTTTTACTGGAAGGGCTCTAAATAATATGTTGATACATTGAACAAGAATAATCAGAAAACATTTGAAATATGGAAGAATAAAAAAAAATGTACGTGGGTTAAAAAATGAAAGCAACATTATGCTAATGAATCATCTCTTTCTTCAGAATCACGGTCAGCCCAGCTCATATGAGAAACAATCATTCTGAATGGAATAACAACCAACTGATTTTACTCCTAAAAATTTGGTTTCTGGATACTAAGATCCACAAATACTGAAGAGATAAGAACACAACGAATGCTATACTGAGTCAGACCAACAGTCTATATAGCTCAGTATCCAGTCTCCAACAATGGTGGAAGTGGGTCTTTTGGAGAGAGAGCACTGATTGAGATATATCTAGAGCAGAGATGGGCAATTTTTTTGGCTGGAGGGCCACTGAATATGTTTTTGTGAACTATCGGGGGCCACACAAATAAAATCTTTCAGAAGATACAATTTTAACAAATTATAGATTAAAAAACAAATAATATACAAAAAAAGATCAAACCTTTACTATAATGTATTTTAATTTTATTTAAAAAAAATCATCCTGATTTATTTATTTTTTGAGTAGTGTATATAGAGACGATTGCATAACAGCTCAAAATAAAGACTTACTCCTGTATATTGTGGGGAGGGGACAGGTGTGGAGGGGTGTGAGCATATGTCAGGGGAGGCTGCCCATGCCAGGTTCCAAGGGCTGGCTGGAGGGTGAAGCATGGGCAGCAGAGCTTGCCCAAGCCATTTGGTGCATGTGCAATTCACCCCTCACTCCCATCTGTCCAATGGCTGCCCCAGTGGTGCTCTGCCTGGGGCCAAGCCCCACTTGCTCCTGCCTGGGGCGGCCTGCACTGCACTCCTGCCTGCACCCGCCAATAGCACCACCCCAGGCCCAGCCAGTGTACACAGCTTCCCAGCAGGGCTGCCTTCCACTCACTTGGCCGCCCACAGATGGCTGCTGAAGTCCTGCGCACTGGGGCAGGAGCTGCCCAGCTACAGCATCCCCCCTGCCTGGCTGGGCATGTGGTGCCTGGCACGTGCCCCGCCCCCATGGCTGCTGTTGCTTCCCTGCACTACCTGCTGCCCAGAGTGGCACTGCAAGGGCAGGAAGAGGAGCTGCTGGAGGTGGTAGGGAGCTGAGCAGTACCCATGCAGCAGCGGCAACCCAGCCAGGAAGCTGTGCATGCTGGCCTGGCCAAGTTGGGGCTGGGGACGTTGATGGGCACAGGGCAGGTGCGGGCAGGGCTCAGCCCCATGCAGGCCGGATACAAAAAACTGGTGGGCTGGATCCAGCCTGTAGGCTGTATTTTGCACCCCCCCCCCCCCCCCC